GAAGGAAGGAAGGAAGGAAGGAAGGAAGGAAGGAAGGAAGGAAGGAAGGAAGGAAGGAGGGAGGGAGGGAGGGAGGGAGGGAGGGAAGGAGCAAGGTACAATTCAGGCTATTTCATTTGAGCCTTATAAGCCAGCACATCCAGCAATATTTGAAGTGTCTATGGAAAATACATGCTCACTCTGTGTAGACTCTGGCAAGCATCAGTAGAAGAATTACAGGTCAGACTTATAAGGTTTTGGAGAAAATCCATGCCCTCTTCTGAAAATAACTACTGTCCTTTTGATAAACTACTTCTGGCTTGCTAGTGGGCAAGAACTGGAAAAATTGGAATGATCGTGCAACCTGAGCTTCTCCTGCTGAGCAGAGGTTATCTACCTACCAAACCATAAGGTTGGATGTGCACAGGAGCAATCTATTAAGGCAGGGGCCCCTAACCCCTGGGCAGTGGATTGATACCAGTCCACAGCCTGTTAGGAACCAGGCCGCACAGCAGGAGGTGAGCCACCGGCCAGGAGCATTACTGCCTGAACTCAACCTCCTGTCAGATCAGCGGTGGCATTAGATTCTCAGAGGAGCACAAACCCTATTGTGAACCATGCATGTGAGGGATCTAGGTTGTGGACTCCTTATGAGACTCTAATGCCTGATGATCTGTCACTGTCTCCTATTACTCCCAGATGGGGCTGTCTAGTTGCAGGAAAACAAGCTCAGGGCTCCCATTGATTCTAAATTATGGTGAGTTGTATAATTATGTCATTGTATATTACACTATAATAATAACAGAAATAAAGTGCGCAATAAATGTAATACACTTGAATCATCCTGAAGAATCCCCATTCACCTCCCTGGTCCATGGAAAAACTGTCTTCCATGAAGCCGGTCCCTCGTGTGGAAAAGTTGGGAACCTCTGTCATATGCTATACCCCAAGCTAAGTAAGCTTCATATGAGCCTAATTTCATTGAATACTTACATCAACCCTGCAAAATAGATATTGTTACCTTACCTTTGTAGATGAGGAAATAAAACCTAAATGGGGTTCAATAGTTTGTTCGTAAGTAAACATCAGAAATACAAATCCAACTCTGACCCCAAAAATTCATGACGAGACCATGAAGTTAAGGAATTGGAAGTAAAGGCTGGTGTTGGGAGATTCAGTAGATCTAACAACATCTCTCTGGGAAACTGTGGGCTTCAGAATAAGTTCCTCTTCGTGCCCATTTAGTTCGTCTTTCTCTGCTCTCAGACCTCCCTGCTGTACTCTGCAAAACACACTGTGGTCTCGCCCGCGGCTCTGTTAGGATTTTCCACTAGGGGGTGGCAGAGGAAAACAGCAAAGCTGGAAGAGGAGGATGGGACTTTTTCCTTCCTTCCGCTTCATTGGGTTTCCCTGTATGCTAAGCAGATCCCAGGATAATTGCCCCAAGTCACACTTCTCAGTCCAGCAGGTGCAGATCCTGCCCATGGCAGCGCATGAACTCCGTTTACAGTTTTCTCAACACTTGTAGAACCGGCTTCATTGCCTCCTTTGCAGGGTCACCAGGACCAACCTCTCTTAAAACAACAGTTTCAGCTCTACAGGGAATATCCCTCTCTAAGTTTTAATTCCTTGCCTCTTCCATTTAAAGCTAGGCCTTCAAAGCTTCCCTTGAAAACTAGGGCTTTCTGCAGTTCCCATATTTGTGGTATCTTAGGGTCCTCTTTCTTTTTTGAGATGGAGTCTCACTCTGTCACCCAGGCTGGAGTGCAGTGGCATGATCTCGGCTCACTGCAACTTCCACCTCCTGGGTTCATCAAGCCGTTCTCTGCCTCAGCCTCCTGAGTAGCTGGGATTACAGGTGCCCACTACCATTCCCGGCTAATTTTTGTGTTTTCAGTAGAGAAGGAGCTTCACCATGTTGGCCAGCCTGGTCTTGAACTCCTGACCTCGTGATCCACCTGCCTTGACCTCCCAAAGTGCTGGGATTACAGGTGTGAGCCACCGTACCCTGCTTAGGATCCTCTTTCAATCCTTTCAGATACCTAGTGAACAATTTAAACA